AAGGTTATAAAGATTTATAAAGCATGATTTCTCACATGTTTCTGATCAGCATTTTCCAAAGAATATGAAATACAGCCAGAGTAATGGTCATGATGACCACAGGCACATCTGCTGGGAAAAGAAGTTACTTTTTCTTTTCTAGAACCCAACCCATCCCCCTCCAGAGGTTCAACTCACAGCTGTCCCAAAGTATTGTCTGTATGGGGAGCATTGGGGAGATCCGGCGAGCACATTTGGTGGTTGGTATTGGGTCATGAGTAATTTTGAGGTGGGAAGAGTTGAGGTTGGATTGAAGGTTTAAAATTAGGGATGGAGAGTGGAACTCCTTTGTGCTACCCCTTTGCATTCTACCACATTGACACAGAAGTTAGCTGATCATGAATTGGGGGAAATGGTACTGAAGGTGGGATAGTTAAAGTGGGAGAGGATTCAGAATTGGGATTGGGTAAAATTGGAGAATGCAGAGCTGAGAACACTGAGCTGGTCAGAGACAGGCATTTGGTGGTATTGGGCACCAGGAGATAGTACTGGGTTGTGTTGGGCACTGGGTGGTTGCATTGGGTGTTGCAAAAACTATCCCAGTTTCCATGTTCACTAGGAGAACTCGACTTAGCATATAGTTATACTTAGGGTTTTGATTTATCACAGCAAAAGGATACAAAAAGCAAATCAGTAAAGAGAAAATTTCTTGGAAAAGCACGGAGAAGACTAGTTGGAAGATTTCAAGAGTCTTCTCCCAGTAAGCACACTTAATTCCTCCAGCAACAAGCTGTGACAACACACATGAGATACTGTCTACCAGAGAAATAGAGCATCCTCAGATCCACGTACACACATCGTAATTATCCAAGAAATTCATAGTTACACAGCATTTCTCAAATTTCTTTGGCCATAGATTTTTTTGGGTGCATTTTTATCGAACTAGTTAGTATTCACCAAACTGATTTTGGAAACTACTGTTAGATTTCTGGTTTTCATATATAGCAAAGGAGCTCTAGAATCTCACAGGTAAAAAGGAAGCAGGCCAGCAAAGATCATGCCAGTCTTGTTCACTACGTAGACATTCTGTGGTGTAGACACATGGAAGCACATTACTCATTTCTTGAATAAATGACTTAGCAGCACATTAACATCTTTATGAAAAAGGAAACTTGAAACTATATGAAAAAAAATTGTTCCATGTTCAGCTATTTTAGGAGGTAGCATATGATCAAGAACCAATGGAATTGAAAGAAGAATTCCAAGCTGCACTGAAGGAATTGGCAAAAAAAAAAGGGGGGGGGCTCCAGTAATTGATGGTGGAATTGAGATGTTTGAACAAATGGATGCAGTGCTGGAGGCATGTAGTAGTCTATGCCAAGAAATTTGGAAGACAGCTGCCTAACCAACTGGAAGAAATCCATATTTTGCTCATTCCAATGAAAGGTGATCCAAGAGAATGTGGAAGTTATTAATATCATAATAATTAGTATCATACATAAAGTTTTTCTAAAGAAAATTCAAAAACAGTTACAGCAGTAAATTGACAGGGAACTTCCAGAAATTCAAGCTGGATTCAGACGAAGACATGGAACAAGAGATATTGCTGATGTCAGATGGATCTTGGCTGAAAGCAAAGAATACCAGAAGGATATTTACCTGTTTATTGACTAGGCAAAGGTATTCAACTGTGTGGATCATAATAAATTATAGATAACATTGTGAAGAATGGGAATTCTAGGACACTTATTTGTGCTTATAAGGAACCTGTGCATAGGCTAAGAAGTTGTTCAGACAGAATAAGGGGCTACTGCATGGTTTAAAATCAGGAAGTGTATGTGTCAGGGTTGTATTCTTTCACTATACTTACTCAATTTGTATGCTGAGCAAATAATCTGAGAAGCTGGACTATATGAATAAGAAAGCGGCATCAGGGTGGGAGGAAGACTCACTAACAGCCTGTGATATGCAGATGACACAACTTCACTTGCTGAAAATTAAGAGGACTGAAGCACTTACTGATGAAGATCAAAGACTACAGCCTTCAGTATGGATTACACCTCAACATAAAGAAAAGAAAAATTCTCACAGCTGGACCAATAAGCAACATCACAAAAACTGGAAAAAAGAGTGAGGTTATCAGGGATTTCCTTTTACTTGGATCTACAGTCAACACCCAAGGAAGCAGCAATCAAGAAATCAGACATCATATTGCACTGGGCAAATCTGCTGCAAAAGACTTCTTTAAAGTGTTAAAGAGAAAAGATGCCACTTTGAACACTAAGGTACTTCTATCGCCTCATATGCATGTGAAAGCTGGACAGAGAATAAGAAGACCAAAAAAGAGTTGCTGCCTTTGAATTATGGTGTTGTCGAAAAATACTGAAAATACCATAAACTGCCAGAAGAACGAACAGATACATCCCAGAAGTGCATCCTTCAGAATGCTCCTTGGAAGCGAGAGTGGCCAGACTTCGTCTCACCTACTGTGGTAGTTAAGGTTATGTGTCAACTTGCTAGGCTTGGTTTTGAGTGGCTGGGCAGCTGATTGTAGTTATTCCCCACAGTGAGATTGGTAATCAACTTACTCCACAGTGGCATCTACTGGAGCAGCTGAGTGGCTGCTGTAGGGATGTGGTCTGCTTCCAGTATATAAGAAGCAACTTTGAGGAAGGTCTCTAGCTTTTGGCATGCTTGAACCCTGCATGTAGCCAAGTCATTGTTCAGAAGCCTGCCATTCTCTGCCAATCTTGGGACTTTTTCTGGGCTTGAATTAGCGGCCTGCTATGTTGTTTCATAATATCAGGACTGTGCCTTTTTACTCGTTGACCTTGAGTTTGTCAGCCTCCGCAGTCAGCAGCTGCCTGAATGAAGAAAATCCTCCAGCTTCAGTGGGCCAGGAGCAGGAGGCAGAGCTGAAGCCCAAGGTTGAGGGACTTTCACCCAGCCCCTAGTGCCTGGTACTTTGAACTCAGACTTCTAGCCTCCAGAATTGTAAGAGAATAAATCCCTGCTTATTTGAGCCATCCCTTTTGTGGCATCTTCTGTTAAAGCAGCACACAAAGTAACCAAAAACCTACTTTGGGTCAGAAGAGACCATTACCTGGAGAAGGTTACCATGCTTGGTAAAGTAGAGAGTCAGTGAAAAAGGAGAAGACCCTCAATAAGATGGGTTGACACAGTGGCTGCAACAGTGGGCTCAAATATAGCAAGGATTGTAAAGATGGCACAGGATCAGGCAGTGTTTTGTTCTGTTGTATACAGGGTTGATGTGAGTCAGAGTCAATGCAACAGCACCCAAAAACAACAAACTTGAAAATTAAAGAAGATGAGATTCTAAAGGGTTTATGTGGTTCTCTTGACTGTATTGTGAACTCCATTAAGTCAGGGTTATGTCAGTTCTGTTCATCATTGTATTGACAGAGCCCAGCATGCCATAGGTACTCAGTAAATGTTGAATAAATGGGAATTCTAGTGGTAGTGTTACTTTGAAGATATTGGTTATAAATCATCAAAAAAAAAAAAAAAAGGGACCAGGTTTGCTGCTCTGATAGAGCCTGATGGAACCATTGAGACTATGACCCCTAGCTGCCCTTCATGTCTGGAATTAAACCCACTCCTGTGCAAAACCAGCCAAACAAAAGACAGGCATATGAGGTGAACATTTACATTAGGTAGATATACTCCCTAGAGAGAACAATCATGAGAGAACAGAAGGGCTGTATATGCACAGGGAGACAGCTCACAGGGCAGAAGTGCATGGAGGGAAGGACACAGGGAAGAGGTAACTATGTGGAGGAAATGGGAGGGGAGTTGTTGCATTGTGGGAAATTGCAGTCAAAGTCATGAGACAAAGTGTATGTAAACTGCTGTATGGAGGGTGAATTTGCTCTGTAAACTTTCACCCAAAGCATGATTTAAAAAATAAAAAAAAAAAAGATATTGGTTGTAAGAAAGGTGAAAGTTACTGGCCAAATTGAGGTATTTAATTACTTAGAGATTTTATTTAGTTATTCTGTCATCACTGGATATTGAGAGTTGCACTGAAGTATTTCAAATATATTTTAGCTTCCAAAATACTAATATTTTATATTAACTATTTCTCACATACACAAGAGTAAATTTAAACACATGGTATAAAAATAATGAATTTGCCTATTACCCAGCATTAGAAGCAGAACATTACCAATTCTTTTGTATGCCCTACTCCAATCTCATATCTTTTCATCCACCCAAGAGTAAATGTCATTTTATGCTTATTGTTCTCTTGAGTTTCCATTTCAGTTTTACTTCATATATGTGTATCCCCAAAATAATGAATTGAGATATATATTTTTTAACTTTATATAAATCATATACTGTCATGATTATACATGTTTCCTAGTGTATATGTCTAAGAGTGTCTCTTAGAATAACTACTAAGGCATAGGATTTCCGGGTCATAGGGCTGTACATTTCCAACTTTGCAAGATAATACCAGATTCATTTTCTAATTTACATTCCCACTGACAGTGCATCAAAGTTCCCAGTGTTCCACAACCTCTTTAGCATTTGGTATTTGATAATACTTTTGCAGTTTTCCAAATATAGTGATGGTTTTAATTTCCATTTCCCTGATCATAATAAGATTGAAAATCTTTTTATGTATTTACTAGCCATTTGTGCTTCCTTTACTCTGAAATGCCTATTCATGTCTCTTGCTCATTTTTCTTTAACAAATTTGTGGGTGTTTTTTTAATATATGTTCTAGATACTAAGCCTTTGTCTCTGGTAGCATAGTGCCAAAGGCACTTGACTGCTAACCAGAAGGCTGGCGGTTCAAACCCATCTGCCACTCCTCAGAAGGAAGGTTGGGGCAATCTACTTCCATAGTGATACCACTTTGGAAACCCAAGGAGGGGTCGCTATGAGTCAAGTCCGACTTAAAGGCATATAACAACAACAACAAGCCTTTGTCAATTTTACATGTTACAAGTGGCTTACCATTTCACTTTTTTTTTTTTTTTTTTTTTTTAAGAGTGTGGGGACAATGCTGAAAGGAATGACAAGGCTTATCTCCAGGGTCCATAAGGTGAGTGACTTGAACACTTTGTGTGTTGTCTTTTTAAGTGGATTTCTTGGTTTTAGATGATTATGTACACAGGATGAAATTCTCTTTCTTTGGAGAACATCAGCATACTAATGCTTTAGTTTATAAGTTTACATTCAAAAGAGCAATCACAATTCCATATCTCTGTCTGTGCACTTCACTCTCAGCTGCTCTAAAAATCTTCAAGCAATAGGTCTTAGTAGAGTAGTTGTAGGTGTAGGTGTTTCAACACATGGATGGTGCTATGGAGGCACTTACTAGTCTATGCCAAGAATTTGGAACACAGCTTCCTGGCCAATTGACTGGAACAATATCATTAATATAACATGCAAGTAAAATTTTGCTGAAGATAATTCAAAAATGGTTGCAGCAGCATATTGACAGAACTTCCAGAAAGGCAAGATTCAGAAGAGACATGGAACGAGAGATATCATTGCTGATTTCAGATGGATCTTGGCTGAAAAGCAAATTCTAGAAAAATGTTTACTTGTGTTATTAACTATGCGGGAGCTCTGGTAGCATAGTGGCTAAGACACTTGCCTGCTAACCAGAAGGCTGGCGGTTCAAACCCACCAGCCACTCCTCGGAAGGAAGGTTGGGCAATCCTACTTCCGTAGTAATACTGCCTCGGAAACCCAAGGAGGGGTCGCTATGAGTCAGGGCTGACTCGACGGCACATAACAACAACAACATTAACTATGCAAAAGCATTCGACTGTGTGGATCATAACAAATTATGGATAACACTGAGAAGAATGGGAATTCCAGAACACTTCATTGTGCTCATGAGGAACCTGTACATAGACCAAGAGACTGTCCTTCAAACAGAACAAGGTGATACTGCTTGGTTTAAAATCAATCTGTATGCTGAGCAAATAACCTGAGAAGCTAGACTGTGTGAAGAAGAACAAGTTACTAGGATTGGAGGAATAATCATTAACAATTTGCAATATGCAGACAAAACCATGCTTGCTGAAAGTGAAGATGAAGCACAAACTAATGAAGATTAAAGACTACAGTCTGCAGTATGGATTACACCTCACCATAAGGAAAATTCTTAGAACTGGTCCAATAAGCAGCATCACACAATAAATAGAGAAAAGATTGAAGTTGTTAAAGGTATCATATTATGTAGATCCACAATCAACACCAATGGAAGCAGCAGTCAAGAAATCAGACAAGGTATTGCACTGGGCAAATCTGCTGCTTAAGACCTCTTTGAAGTGCTGAAGATCAAAGATGTCACTTTGAAGACTAAGGTGCACCTAACCAGGCAGCCATGGTATTTTCAGTCACCTCATATGTATGTGAAAGCTGCTCAGTGATTAAGGAAGACTGAAGGAGAGTTGATGTTTTTGAGTTGTGGTATTGGTGAAGAATACTGAAAGTACCACAGACTGCCAGAAGAATGAATAAATCTGTCCTGGAAGAACTGCAGCTCAAATGTTCCTTGGAAGTGAGAATGACAAATGTTAATCTCATACCTACTTTGGTCATGTTGTCAGAAGAAACCTGAAGAATGTTTTTAAGTGTATCGTTCTGTTGTACATAGGGTCACTGTGAGTTGGAGCCAACTCGACAGCACTAACAACAACAAGAGTAGTTGTGCTTGAGAATTTACCATGTGATAGAATTAACTTTTTTCCCCGAGTTAGTATAGGTAAGCTATCTTAATGAACTTTTATCATTTCTCTAATAGGATTAATTATCATCCCTTATTGAAACATCTAAGAGAAAAGTAAATTGCCTTTAGCAAATAGTTTGCCAGTACCGTCCATATGGCAGATACTCAGGACCCTAAGATAATTAATTTCACTAATAATAGTTACCATTTGTTGGGAATCATTTTGTGCCAAACCAACAAAATCAAACTCACTACCATCGAGTACACTGCAACTAATAGCGACCCCTCCTTAGGTTTCTGAGGCAGCTGAGGTGGTAGGTTTCTGAGGCAGCTGAGGCGGTATCTCTATGGAAGTAGATTGCCCAGTCTTCCTTCCAAGGAGTGGCTGGTGGGTGCTAAGTGCTTTATCTCATTTAATCCTCATGACCAACCCATGAGGTCGATAGATATTAGCGCTTTAATAGGCTGTGAAGTTGAAGAGCTTAGTCTAAACATCAAGTCTGTCTGAATTCAAAGCCTGTGGCTTTAACCATTAATCTGTATTGCATCTTGTGGTCCACGTTTGCTAGAATCACACAGTCCTATGGTGAAAATTTGAATAAGTGATTAAAATTCAGTGATGTTACAGAACTCAAGGAGCACCTAACCTGGATTAGTAGAGTACAGAAGAAATTCTCCCACAGCCAAATCCTGAAGGCTAAGAACTGAACCAGAAGGATTGGCACTTTAATCTGGTAATTTAATTGCAGATAAGATTTCTTAGAGAAGGAGTCTTTCCTAGAGGGTTCATAATAAAAGTAAGAATTAACAGAGGTGGATTCTGGCCTAAACTCGCCATATTTAATCAGTGCTGAATATGAAAAATTTCTTGAGGCCAAACTGTGGAGAGATGTCAGTGAGAAGAAATTTTGTGGTTTTTGTAGTTTGTCTCAGAGTGACCTTGAATGACTCACGAATGCTGTTCTTTCAAGAACTACATAATGTTCATTCTGGAACTATGCAGAGGCAATTGTGCATATGGTTGTTTTCCCTAGAAACAAAAGACTAGCTGAGTGGTGCCATTTATTACACTAGGAATCCATTTTGCTTGCTTTTAACTTCAAAAACCCTACCTAAAAAATCGTTAGCTTACTGTATAGCACCACCTTGTGGCACTTGGATATCTTTACTATTTCAGTTCACTGCTGATTTTTTTCAGAGGAGCTCTGGTGGCAGAGTACCTAAGGCATTTGACTTCTCACCAAAAGGCTGGCAGTTCAAACTAACCAGCCACTCCTCGGAAGGAAGGTTGGGCAATCTACTTGCGTAGTGATATTACTGCCTTGGAAACCCAAGGAGGGGTCGCTGTGAGTCAGATTTGACTTGACGGTAGTGAGTTGTTGCTGCTTTTTAGAGCATGGTGTTCTCTCGCAGATTAAATTGAGTAGTTTTACTACTAGAGTATATTATTCAGGATACTATGCTGCAGTGACAGTGAATGGCTTAACTCAACAAAAGTTTGTCTTAAGCTAAGTTCCCTAGAGAAGCCAAACCAGTGAGAGGAAAAAAAAATATGTATTTCAAGGACATGGTTCATGCAGTTGTAGAGACTGGCAAGTCCCAAGTTTGTGGGTCAGCATCAAGCTTAAGCTTCTTTTTACTTATGTAGCTACAGGGTCCCCAGATCGGCAGTTAAATGACAGCTGTTGGCTTTCAGGCTGTGAAGGCAACAATCCCAAGATCTCCAGGCAATACAGCAGGACACTAGTATAAGTCCAAGAACTGGAGGTCAGACAGGAGCCAGAGGATTTTGCCAGGATGCCCATATATATTAGAAGCAGGCCGCACCCTTTAGGAAACTCCATTTCAATTGATGAGCTGTTCATAGAAGATCTCGTTATGGAGATGATTATATTATATCTCATCATGGGGGATTAGTACATCATAATTGCTAAACCACTAAGAATCATGGTCCAGCTAAGTTGACACATAGCCTTAACTATCACAGTCCTTGTCAACTTGGAACTTACACACATCTCCTTAAATCACACATAATCTCTAAATAAAGACATTTTAAAGTCATTCTTGCACCTAACACAATACAACTAACACATAGAACTGAAAATGCATTAGCCTTATATACATCTTATATTTTATAACTGAAGAAAACAAAAATACTTGATGCATATACACGAAGAAGAAATACTCATAACATTGTCATCATTTCTGCCACTACTCATGTGATTGTAGCTGGTATTTAGAACTATCTTCTTTCCCCCATTCCATATTACCTTTTCCTTTAGCAAGCACTTCAGCTGGTCTTGGTTCATTGCCTGATAAGTGTAACCAAAACCTTCATTCCTGAAGGGTCTGGGCCATTAGTAGTCATACCAGAATTGGATTGCTACAGTTTTCCATTGACTTTAATCATAAGGCATGGTAGTTCTAAGAGCAGTCCTAAGGAATATCCTATCTTTTAGAGATACTCTTCATTACCTACTGTGGTAGTGAAGTGTGTGTGTCAACTTGGCTGGGCCTGGATGAGTGGCTTGGCAGCTGGATATAGTTATTCCCCATAATGAGACTGGTAATCAACTCTATAGTGGAATTTACTGTGAGCAGCTGAGTAGCTACCTTAGGGATGTGGTCTGCTTCCTGAAAATAAGAAGCAGCCTTGGGAATGGTTTCTAACCTTTTGGCACACTTGAACCCTGCCTGTAGCCAAGTCGTTGTTCAACAGCCTGCCATGCCCTGCTGATCTTGGGACTTCATTTGGACTTGAATTAGTGGCCTGCCATGTTGTTTGGTAAAGTTGAGACTGTGCCTTTTTACTTGTCACTCTTGGGCTTATCAGCCAGCAGCTGTCTAAATGAAGAAAAGCCTCCAGCTTCAGTGGGCCGGGAGCAGGAGGCAGAGCTGAAGCCCTAGGTTGAGGGGCTTTCACCCAGCCCCTAAAGCCTGCCACTTTGAACTCAGAGTTAAAGCCTCCAAACTATAAGAGAATAAAATCCTGTCTGTTAAAGCCATCCCATTTGTGGTATATTTTCTGTTAGAGCAGTACAGAGGTAACCAAAACACCTACATTATATAGTATCAGTACAGTTTTCCCTTTGTAATCAGAATCAGTGGCACCACACAATACATGTCTTCTTTGCTTGTTGATCCAGAGGCATGAGGAGCTGAAAATGATAGGCTAGCATTCTTAATTTCCAGTTCAGTGGAATCACTAGTGGGTCTTAAGGCAGAAGTATTTTTCCCTTTGGGGACTAAGACTTGCAGACCCCATAGCATAACGTTGCAAGGTCAAGAAGCAAAAATTTTGCAAGTGGGTAATTAGGGGTAATAATGAGTGGTGCCACTCCCATTTTTACCCTTGGTTC